ATATAATCTCATTACATACGGATGCTGTTGTTATGTGTCATGAGTCAAAAACAGCTCATAGTTGATGTTCAGAGAATTTCAAAACTTGTAAATTACCTGAGAAAAGAATGACTATCTTTTTCTCACAGAGCAGCTGGTGGATTTAAACTACTGGCCTTTGGGTTGTAGATTAGCTCTTTACCCTTTAGATTCAAAGAAATAAATAGTGCTGTTCAAGACCTCAAAGTTTTTTGTGGGAGAAGATTTAGCTAGAGTACTCTTGGTTGCCAATAATGGGCTCCTTCTTCTTTAATACATGTAAGATTTTTATGTATATCGTCTTTGTTATGTACTGTTGAATGGCATATGACTCATAGCTGATCCTCCAGTAAATTTTCAGAGGAAGTAAATTACATTAAAGGAGACTGAGCATCCTTCTCCCATGTAGCAGCTGGTGGGTTTGAACCAAGTGTTTTTGGAACTTCTTTACCACTAGCCCACCAGAGTTTTAAAAAAAAAACCACAACAAAAACAAAAACCACAAAACCAAATCTACTGCCATTGAGTCAATTCTCACTCATCGTGCCCCTCAACCAGGTCTCTGAAGCAGTAAACCTTTATGGCAGGAGACTGCCCCTCTTTCTCCTATGAAGTAACCGCTGGTGGGTTCAAACAGCTTAGAAGTTGGCAGTCTTAACATGCGATGCATTATATTATGCCAAAATCTTGCCTTCTGGCCTAGTGGTTAAGGAACTGTATTATTAAGGCAAAGTCAGGCGATTCAAATCCACCAGATGATCCACAGAAGAAAGATCAGCAATTACCTCCTCTGCTATCTGCTGTCTCTCTAAATCCACTGGAGGGTCAGCTGAATCTGTTCCTACTTGATGGTACATAACGAGATATTACTAGATTAAGAGGGAGTTAAGAAAGAAATGTATCACTAAAAGAGAGCTCTGGTGGCCTAGTGGCAAGAAGCTGCACTGCAATCCCAGAGGTGCATGGTTCGAATCCACCAGATGATAGGCAATCGCCTCCTGTACCAGTCAGATCCCATTTGATGGTACACACACAAAAAATGACACTTAAAAAAAAAGACAGAAATTCACCACTAAAACACAAAATGGTTATAATTTCTTACACCTATCAAAATCTATTATAATACACTGCTTGCTGAAACTGAATAAGACTTGAGGCATTTTGCTGCATAATACAGTCTTCAATATGGATTGAAGCTCAATGTCAAGAAAACAAAGATTCTCACCACTGTACCAATTGACAGCTTCATGACAGAAGGAGAAGAGATTGAGACTGTTAAAGTGTCAGATTGCTTGGTTTCACAATTAACACTCTTAGCACCTGCAGTCAAGAAATCAAAAGAAGAACTGCACTGGGAAAGTTTGCTGTCAGGGACCTCTCCAGCATACTGAAGAGCAAGATGTCAGTCTGGAGACTAAGGTGTTCCTGATCAAGGCCATGGTCTTCAAAATTACTTGCTATACCTCAGAAGATTACTGAAGATTATCCAAAACCAACTGGAATAGCAAGCACATCAGCAGAGAACTACCAGAAGTCCAGGCTGGGTTTAGAAGGGGTCGTGGTACTAGGGATATTGTAGCTGATGTTAGATGGATCTTGGCTGAAAGCAGAGAATACCAGAGGAATGTCTATCTGTGTTTCATTGAGTATGCAAAGGCATTTGACTGTGTGGATCATAACAAACTGTGGCTGACTCTGAGAAGAATGGGAATCCCAGAGCACTTGATCGTGCTAATGAAAAACCTATACTTGGACCAGGAGGCAGTCATCAGAACAGAGGAAGGGAACACTGCATGGTTCAAAATTGGGAAGGGTGTACGCCAGGGATGCATCCTATCTCCATACCTTTTCAACCTATATGCAGAACAGATTATCTGGGAGGCTGGGCTCTAAGAGGAGAAATGTGGGGTCAAGATTGGTGGATGATTTATCAACAATCTGCGTTATGCAGATGACACAACCCTGCTTGCTGAAACTGAAGAGGACCTGAAGCACCTGCTGCAGAGTGTCAAGGACTGCAGCCTACAATATGGATTGAGGCTCAATGTCAAGAAGACAAAGATTCTCACCATTGGACCAATTGGCAGCATCAGGATGGATGGTGAAGAGATTGAGATTGTACACAGCTTTAGTTTGCTTGGCTCCACAGTCAACAGTCTTGGCACCAGCAGCCAGGAAATTAAAAGGCGCATTGCCATGGGAAAGTCTGCTGTTAGGGGCCTCTCCAGAGTACCAAAGAGCAATGATGTCTCTCTGGAGACTAAGGTGCATTTGATACAGGCCATGGTCTTCGCAATCACTTGTTATGCATCAGAAAGTTGGACAATGACCAAGGAGGATAGAAGGAGAATTGATGCCTTTGAGCTGCGGTGCTGAAGGAGAGTATTGAGAATACCATGGACTGCTAGGAAAACAAACAGATTTGTCCTGGAAAGGGTTAAACCGGGTGGCTTCTTGGAGGCAAGGATTCTGAGGCTCCGTCTAACATACTTTGGAAATGTGAGGAGAGACCGGTCCTTGGAGAAGGACATCATGCTTGGGAGGGTGGAGGGACAGCGCAGGAGGGGAAGGCCCTCTATGAGGTGGATTGATTCAGAAACTGGGATAATCGGGATGGGAGTGTCAGAAACAGTGCAATTGGCACAGGACAGAGCGGAGTTTAGGGCTGTTGTACATAGGGTCACTATGAGTCCCAAGCTACTCGACGACACATAACAACAACAACAACATACATCAGAAAGCTAGACAAGGACCATGAATGATAGAAGAAGAATCAATGTCTTTCAGTTGTGGTGCTTGTAAAAGGTGTTGAATATACTGTGGACTGCAAGGAGAACAAACATGTCTGTCTGGGAAACGGTGAAAACAAGCTGCTCCCTGATGGCAAGGATTTTGAAGCTTCGTCTCATATACTTTAGGCATGCGGCAGGAGGGATCAGTCCTTGGAGAAGGACATAGTGCTTGAAAGGGTAGAGGGACAGCACAGGAGAGGAAAACCCTGGATGAGATGGGACTGACTCAGACACAAGAGAAATGGGATTAGGTCTCTCGGAGATAATGAGAATTGGCTCAGGATAGCGCAAGATCCAGAGCTAATGTACACAGGGTCACTATGAGTCACAGGTGACTCAACAACAACAACATAATCTATAAAGAGTAATTCTAAATTACTCTTTATTCTAAATAAAGCAAAATTAAAAACCAAACCCACTGCTATCTATCTTAGTGAGTTCCACTCACAGCTTTCCTGCAGGACACAGGAGAACTGCTCCATTGGGTTTCTAGAATTAGAAAGTTTTATCGAAGTAGACTGCCTCCATCTTTCTCTGTAGAGTCATTCAAACTGCTACACTTTTGGTTAGTAGCCAAATCCTTGGCCTCTGCACAAGCAAAACTTCCCAGGAAAGTTCATCCCATAGTACCTCCAAACAGACTCATTTGACATGTGTTTACTGAACATTTACTATGTTTCCAGAACTGTGGTAGGTACTAAGGGTATTATGCTGCTGGTGAGTATCACTGAGTCAGAAGCAAGCCATAGCTGACCCTTCAGTGGGTTTTCAGAGGAACTGCACAAGAGGAGACTGCTCATCTTTCTCCAATAAAGTAGCTAGCTGGTGGATTCGAACCATGTTCCTCAGGTTTCAGAGCACAACTCCTTACCACTAAACCACAATAGCTCCCCCACAAGAGTATAATAGTGTTCCTTCTTTAAAAGAATGTTTAGCTGACAAGATTCATAACTGCTTCATCATAATACCGTAAGTGCTATGACCAGGCAGGAATGGACCACAGGGAATTATCCAGATTGGTAAGGACCTAAGCAAATGCTTCTTAAAGGAAATACCATCTAAGACCTAAATATAGTGCTCTAACTTTTAGGTCTCGGATCCCTATGTCCTTCTAGAAATTGGGAACCTTGAAGAATTTCTGTTTGTGTAGATCCTATCAATCTTAAACTTAAGACTACATAAGTATGTATCAGCCATCAGAGGAATGGAGTCAATATGGGCTAAGCTGCTGCAGCAGCAGTAAAATCCAGTGTCCTCATGAGAATGTGAAGGGAAAACACACAAGGGGTCTTGGTGTTTAAAAATTATCAAACTCACTGCCTTTAAGTTGGAACGAAATTGTAACTAACCCTCTAGTGGGTTTTCAGAGGCTGTAAACTGTATAAGAGATTCGCCATCTTCCTCTCTCGGAGATTCTAGTGAATTTAAACTATACCACCAGAGTTCTATATGACTTTGCAAGGCTCATGGGGAGACCCAAGGGTACCCAAATCACACTGAGGACTGCTAATGTAGTTTGGGGTGTGTATAAATGTTAAAGAGGGTAACACCTGTTGCTCAAAGGTACACAAGTGAGAGAAACTGAAGGTAGGACAGATAGAGTACCTAAGTGGCAAATGAGGCTGGAGATATAATTGAAAACTACAGTAGAGGCAACAATGGGCTCTCAAGAACAGCAGAGAAGTGAGGAAAGTGCAGGATGGGGCAGGGTTTCACTCTGCTATACACGGAGTCATCATTAACTGGAATCAATTCAATGGCACCTGACAATACAACAT